TCATGCGCGTCATATATATATCATAAAAATGCAAAACATAAAATTTCTCTTCTCCAGCCTATTACTTGTTTTTTGTTTTGCCCCATAAGTTTTAGGTGGAATTTAAAGGTGGAATTGATAGTTTTGTTCATTCTCTGTTTACTAAATATTAACATATTTAATCTATATTTTCTTTATAGTCAAAGGAAAGTATGCTGAGTCTTACGAGCAGAAAGGAAGGTAGAAGGGTTAGTATTAAGTTTGTTATTGTAGTTTTTGGACAGTAGGGCAGTATCACTAATATTCTGGGCTAATGAATCATGAATTGTACCACTATATTGTCCCTTTCATGATGGGCTCATGCAATTTGCAGAAATCGAGTCTTGAATTTCAATTGTACAACAATACTTATGGTAATTCTGAGATTTCTTAACATATCCTTTCAAAAATTGGTAAGAATTTTTTGAAGATCACAAGTATCTTGTACACAAATAATGACGGGTTTGTAATTAAATGTTTTTACTAAAAATGTGTTATTTTTATGTTGTAGTTGCTCACATTCAAACTATTAACAAATCAAGTGCAAAGTGATTTTCATTTCAAGTATAAAAAATACTCTTCTTCATCTTATAGTTTTTATATTTCATTTTCTCTACTATATCACTAACTCTAGCTATTATCATCAATGTACAATACACTGAAATAATTAAAATTAGGAAATAGAAAAAAAAATACATACCTTTTAATTTTTTCTAGAATATCTTTAAAGAGTTTCCTTTTGTTAAATTTGTATTTTCATCTCTTTTCCTTTTCACAAATAGTTAATTTTTAATGTTTATTTTCCTTTCTTGTCTTTTATAACTTATTATTCATCTCAACACAAGTCAACAGTGCCCTTGAGCCATATTACAGTTTTTGAGGAGACATGCTCAACCATTTGGCAAAATTTTTGTTCAGTGTGTAATGTTGTAAGCCTTGAATGGTCGTGAAGTATGATTATAATGGTCTAAAATGAACACGCCACTACAGCCGGGGTTCAACAACAACAAAAAATCAATTTTTTCACAATAACAACACTTAGAACACTTTGCAAAACACATTCAATAAAAAAAGTGCCTGGCCAGGACTTCACACCAATATTAATAAACTATTTATCATAAATATTAATAAATCAATAATAATGGAAACAGGAAAAGAACCAGAAAAAACAAAATAAAAACTAATTCCAAAAACAAATATAGCAAATACAATATTCAAACAATACCTTTCAGTATCAGTAACAATATCGAGTGACAAGCAGCAATAACTGTATCCTTCAATAAATATATCATGATTCTCTCTTAGTGAAGCTTCTAGCAGGATACTTATTCACGGAGTAGGTTATGAGAGTACAACCTCATATGATCATAAATTTACATACTCTTCTGCTACATTAATAGTATTTTTACGTAATCACCAAGGAAGCTGGTGTCAGTTTATCACACACACACACACACACATATATATATTTACTCAAAATACAAATAATTATGTAGAAGGTGAGTTAGCATTTTAATGCAACTAAAAATTCATAGATAAACTAAATGATAAAATGAAATAATAAATGAATGATAAACACGACCATAATCATAAAATAAAAAAAATGCTATCTCACATGGTGTTTGTTTAAAACATAACTAATACATTATTGACTAAAATATAATAGTAAGACCTACATACAATTTAAACTGTATCTTTAACTATAACATATTTAGGTAAGAAACAATCGTAAGTGCTATAGTTGATCAAGCAGCCAACAATACTACAGTCAGTTACATGTGGTCTGTGACGAAGACTTGGCATCAATTTCAAAATGACCATTGTTAGTTTAAATTGTAAAATGGGCTCTTTGTAACTGTTATAAATGCAAGTGTATGTAACATCTACGTGGAAGTAATAAAGCTCATATAAATCTTTTGAAGGTGGGCATGGCAGCTGTAAGGGGTTTAAAAAATTTATTACTTGTTTTAACTGTATTAATTCATAGTACTTTCAAATAGAACGATTCAAAATGTTATGTAAGCATCGTAGTGGCTAGACGTACCTCTACTTTATTATCATTGTATTATTGAAAATACAGAGAGCCAAAGAAGAAATTTTGCGTAGCTAGTTGGTCACGTGACAATACACCTGAAGTTTTAAGCAGTTTTTTAAAGGTTTATTTTGTAATAAAGGACTTAAAACTTGGATAAAATAAATCTTTGATTCATAACACACATTACAATATTAAATTCATTCACATACATTGATATTAAAGATGTTTAACTAAATTTTGAATGCAACCCAATGACTTGCACAGAAAAGCATTTAAAGGGGGCTCCCATTGCAAAAGGGCTAATAAATGAGTAAAGTTTAAAACTATTCCATTTATCGTTATTATCATTCTTAATTACTGTTCAAATGTTATATATTTTCTGGTTATATAAAGAGATAAGTACATTATATTAAAACAAACTTCGAATATGCAGACAAGCAAATCACTTGACAACTGCAGTTGACATAAAGTGGGGGTGGAATAGACTGTATCAGAACAACATTTTGTAGCTAACATGATGCCACTGAAAATTTATTGCTTTTGGGAAAGGTGCGTAACAGTCTTTTCCAGTGCAAGAATTTGTATACTCAAATCATGTGTTCTGATCAAAGATTTAAAATTTCCAAGATGAGATATCCCTTGTACTTAATGGTATTGGAAAACAAAGGAATATGGATCAACTTGTAGCACCAAAACCACCAAGAAAGAAACCTGCAACAAGTCATAACCCAGCTGTGATAAGCAAAGTGCAGTGTCTTATAACAAGTGAGAACATGTGAACACAAAGGTCAGTAGTAAAATCTATCTACTTGTCCCAAAAAACAGTATGCATCATAATTGAGAAGGATCTCTATCTGGAAACAGGGCCAACACAGAATAAGGCTTGATTAGGAAGCCTTCGTCCTTCCTGGTCAGAAACTTGTTTAAAAATACCAAACTGTGTTTGCAGTTCACCTTTTCTCTGTAGCTAACAATTCATAAAAGTGGATGATAAGAATCTGAAAGTAGAGGAGTCTCTCATACAAAAGGCAGAGAAGGATACAATACAACTATCCCATAATCAGACCCTACTACTGTAAGTAGCACTTCACCTAAGACTATTTAGTATATATTCAAAATTTTGACTTTATGAACATTTTAAAATTTTGTAAATTGGAAATATAACATGGGAAAGTGATATGTTTGATAGTTAAATACCATACATATTCTATTATACTGTCTTCTCATTAATCTTTGTTCTACATTATTTTAGGTTATAAGGTATGATGAAAATATGCAGATGTGTGTATTTTGCTAACAGTCTTTTGTCTTCTGAAATACTTTTAAACTGATTTTCAAGGGTTCAACACTAGCTGCTGATAGCAGCAGTAGTCCTGTTCCTGTAGTTACTATTGATGATGATCCAGATCCTTCGGTTTCTAACCCTATTATTGTGTCTGTGACTGGTGGAACAGAGTCTGTTCAGGCAGCTGAAAACAACTATACCAAGGAGACTAATAGTGATGAGAAAATTGGCAATGATGTAGGTGCAGAAACCGAAAATAATTCCAAAGGAGAGAATAAAGTGAAAAATAGAAAAGGTTCCAAAGAGTTAGACAGGAAAGATACTGAAGAGATTAGCATGAGAGAGTGTGAAGAGAAAATCAGAACAGAGTCTGAGGAGACAAATAGTGAAGATTCTTCAGAGACAAGTAAGAGAGACCTCCATGAAAAGACTAAAAAAGATCCATTGAACAAAACTAAAAAAGAACACAAGGAGAAGATCAAGAGAGAATCTCAGGAGAAGGCCAAGAGAGAATCTCAGGAGAAGACTAGTAGGGATTCTCAAGAGCGGACTAAAAAAGATTCTGTTGAAAACAGTAGAAGAGAATCTCAGGAGACTAGTAATAGTGTAGATTCTCAAAGAAAATTTAGGAGAGAATCTCAGGAGAGTTCTTCGTCAAATGACAGTACCTTGAAAATTAGGATAAAAAAGAAAAGTTAAAGAACAAAAATATACCAAAGTTTAAGATCAAGAAAGAAAAGATTGATGATAGTCCTAGAGAGACGAGTAAAGAAAAATGGAACTCAGAAGAGAATAACAGGTCACTTTTAGAAGATCTACAATCCCTAGAAGATCTTTTGAAAACCAGCAGCAGTGGATTAACAGTGAGTGAAGTGCGAGTGAATAGCAGTGGCTTAGAAATTTCAAAGGTAGGAGCAAAATCTTCAAATGAAGAAAAAACTCCATTAAAAGACACAGTGGCCACTATAACAAAAACATTTGTCAATGGACAAGGAAAAAAAGAGTTATCCATGGCCGTTTTGAAGAGTATGGAAAAAACTTCAAATCATTCTGTAGATGATCCTAATGAAGATTGGTGTGCAGTGTGCCATGATGGAGGAGAGTTGTTATGTTGTAGCAACTGTCCTCGTGTGTACCATCTTAACTGTCATGTTCCTGCTCTATTAACCACTCCAAAGTAAGTATCATTAACCACACTTCTATAATTTCCTAATAGTTATTTTTGTATTTCCTGTACCTCAAAAAAATAAGTAGTAAAAGTTTAAAAAGTTCTGTCCTTTATTCCAATCTATCAAGAATATTCAAATGGGGTTTTTTTGTTTTTTTTTTCCTTTATTAGTTTCGTTTTTGACTTCCTTGCTACTATGAAAATTGTTGGAACAGAAATAGTTTCAATTTCTATTTCTGTATTATTAGAAATTGTCATACTACATATATAATTGTTGTTTGTCTTCCTTATTATTACATGTGAAGCTGTGCAACTACTTTTAACTTCTGCTTTTTACATTGGTAATTGAGATAAAAGGTTTATTCTATCCTGTAGTGAGGACTGGGCTTGCCTCATGTGTACAGATATTAGAAACGGGTCTCTTACTCGAGATTCCAGTGGAAGCAAAAGAAAGAATCCATTGGGTTTATCTGGTCATGAGCTGACGGTATGACTGTTTTATTTTTTGATAATACGTTAAAAAGAATTTTTAAGTACTGTTCAATTTTGAATAATAAATCCTGTTTTAAATTTTATTCAACAGGAAAAAAAACAATCAACACAGAAATGAATATTATTGTAAAATTTTCTCCTGTGTTATTGTTTAGAATTTAAAAACAATTTTCTTGAATACATTCACTGATATTTTATTTAACTGGTTGTCACAAAAGTCATCAGGATTATTAAGCAAGGTTTGTCTTTTTATTTTTAATGTATATTGACCATTAAAATATTTAAAAACATGTCAGTTTCAAAACAATATAAGAAAACCCAACATTTCAACTGCTAATGGGAAGTCATTACCAAAGCTCTGTCTTCTCGAGGTCTGCCATGCCACCGTATAGCATTTCACCAACTTTATTAAAATGAAAGGCCTATGGTCCTGCACAAGAGGGATATGGCCCACCTCTTTATTTGTAAAAGTGGAATTGAGAAAGCATTAACAAAAATAAAAATCCTTATAAACAAAATTTTGTTCATTACATAGTACGTTGTAATCTTCCCAGTTGATGGAATGGTCTATTAACAATACGTGTTCAGTTAGAGTAGATTCTATTATTCTTCTATCTTGTAGTGCTCATTCCTGATTACCAGTTGTTACTTTTAACAGTTAATCATCCATAATATTTATTGTCACTGTAATCTGGCAAATTTAACAAAACTTCTTGCTTAGATCTCTTTCTTTTGATTTACCAATATCTGTGTAAGAGATGAACAGGTATTTAAAAGAAACTTGAATATCAGCTGAAGTAAAAGTCCTAGTAATCTTTTCACACCTAGAACATAAGAAAAGGTAACTCAGTTTTTGAAGTCGATTTTGTTGAAGGTGTTTTTGGTAAACTTGTAAAAGAATAGGACTTAGTGTGGCTGAATGTATATCATTCTATTGACTGGGAAAATTACAAAGTTTTGTTTGGAGACTAAGGGATTTTTAAAAGGTTAGCATACTGCCAATAGGTGGCACTGTGCAATTGTTAAAAACTTGTACAGACCATGCAGAGCCAGATTCTTGACAATTTCCATTGGCAGTCAAAACGTTTTTTTCCTGGGTGTTTTTAAGTTATTTCAATTATTTTAATCCACCCTTTTGAATTTCACCTAATGAATTTTCTGCTTAATGTGCTATTAATACAGTGTTGTGAGAAGATACTGCTGGAACTTTTTTGCCACGATGCCAGCCTACCTTTCCACGAGCCAGTTAGCAAAACTGTAAGTTCAATAAGGTTTACTCCCTAATGCAATAATACAAGATGAATATGCATTATTTCTATTAGAAAATAACTTGATGAAAAATTTTGAAGTGTAATACTTTTTTACTGTCTACTAACTACAGACAAGAGTATAAATGTGTTACTTGATGAACTCTCATTCTATTTACGTCCACTTGTGTTTATTGTTTTGTATCTGTTCCTTAGCATTTAAAGATTCGTGATTGTATTCAGTGTTCTTTATCTGTATCGCAATAACAAGGGTTTGTTAATACTCATAACACTATCTGTTTCTGGAAGGTGTTTGTTTTTAACTGAATATGATATGCTGTTTCTGTCTGCAGTATTAGTGACTACATATGTAAAACACCATTATCTAGATGCTGACATATTGTGATTATATATGACATATCTCTTCTATTTGGAGGATTTGTGACTGGACATCATGTGGATGGTCAGTTTGAAGTTTCATGTTATGATGTAATACTACCCTCCTTGGACATCGTATTACTGATTTCATCTCGCACTATTTATCATTGGAGGGTGTCTTATATGTGAAGTCTCTTTACCTACCCTTTGGTAGTTTCTTTTTATTTATGTATTACAATGCTCTTCATCTATCTTTTAAGATTTAGTATTTTATAATTCTTTGATACATGTCTTAAATAATGATTTTACCAAAGTATGTAAAGTATGCTGTTAAAGGATCATTAATAACTTAAATATATTTGCTGTAACTATGAAAAATTCACGTTCTAAAACAGCTCTTTAGACACATGGCTACTTCAGTCTTTACAATTAAACACATCACCCCCAATTGTCAAGGGCTAAAAAAGTAGTTTGGATTTGTTTTGCCCCATTTATCATTGATTAATATGTAACTTTACTTTGTATTCTGTTTTCTAGACTGTCAAATTTGTAGTTTAAATTTTGTCTTGTATGCTTTTCTTCCATCAGCAAGTACCAAATTACTACAAAGTGATTACTAAGCCTATGGATATGCTGACCATCAAACAGAAGCTTTCTCCTAATCATTTTAGCCATTATGGAACTATGGATGAACTAGTTTCAGATATTCATCTTATTTTCAGTAACTGTTTTACCTTTAATCCGGTAAGTAACAGTTTTTAATGTCAATATTAAAAATAAATTCAAAATTTTATCACTGTATAAGCCAAATTGAAAAATATAATGAGATTTATAGACATAAAATGTTTAACCTTTAAGAAACAGATGGGAAATAACATCAGCTACACCAATTACCTAATCTATTTAAAAATTCACTAATAAAGATGTCTCTGAAAAAATTTCAAATCTTTTTTTTTTGTAGGAAAAAACATACTTAAATTTAATTTAGTTTTGATAGTGAATTTTGTAAATCTGAACAAAATATACTTTTGTGATATAATGGCTGACTTCTAGGGTCTGATATGTAGTACACAGCACCCATATAAAACCAAAATACCAATACGATTCACCTATGGATATGAATAATAAAACACTAATATTAGACTATTCTATGTTTTCCTCTCCTCTATTAATTTCTTCTTCTAGATAATAACACTAAACTAAAAAAAGCAATCTTAGTTCAGTGTCACAATCTGGAAGAAGAAATTAGTAAAGGAGAGGAGGAAAATTATTTGATATGTGATTATTTTGTTGATGCTAGTTTTTACTTTTAACATTCATTATATTATCTTTACCACAGTTCAAATAACATCTTCTGTTTGTAGGAAACTTAGCTGTATAGTCCATTTCCACCCCCACTCCCCTTACTGGTTCTCACGTTTAAATCTACAGGGGATTTGAGAACTGTTGCAACCTTTACAGCTATTATGTCTATATTATTACAGTCTTTGATTTTTTCCTGGTGTGTAATGTTTATTTACAAGTGGCTGTTATGTCATTTGTATTTTAACACGTTCACGACATCGTGTGCCACCAGTGGTACATTTGCATGTTTTCTGTTGAACATTGTGAGAGCCCCCTGTGCTACACAGCACCCATAAGATATAACTGCACTTCATATCTCCAAAGTCAGATATGAAAGTATTTATTTTATACAGATGGCTGTAATAAAGCCACTCCTTCCATCATGTACCATTGGTGGAGCACGAATGCCATGTTGAAAGGACAAATGAAATAAAACAACTTTACATGATTAAATCACTTTTTATTTTAAAATTACATTTAGAGATTGGCATTAAATTTTTCATTGTGAATAATTGAAGCAAAAACTAACTAATTGAGACTTTCTTCATAAATAAAAAAACTTATGGAGAGTATAATATAATAAGGATAGAACTATTATCATCCACATTAGGGATTATTTTATCTGATGTTCCTTTTTATAACCATAAAATTGTGAAATATTCATAATTCTTCTAAAAAATGGCAAAATTACTCTGAAAAAAATTAAATATTATGATCCTTTAATTATTATTACTTAAATCAGTGTGCACCACTGGTGGTACATGATGGCGGCCAAAGCTTAAATGGGTAAAGACAGGACATCATGTACCACTGGTGGTACACTCAAGAGAAAGCTGTCAATGCAATCGTAAAACATAACATAAAGCCATAAAATTAATAGTACCTAAGACAGAGTTCACAATGAGGCTTTACGTTTCTGTTGCATAATTAAAGAAATCACTTATGCCTCAAACACGATAATTGTGCATACGTGCACTCTTATAACTGAAAATTTAAACTGAATAAAGTGTTAAGCATAATGGTGAATTATTTAACTTGGCCTAATTTGATTTGAGTTTCAAGTTTAAAGCAAAATCAATATATACGATTTGATATGTATTACAAACACTGTGTTGTATTTTTTGTATATTTAACAGGCAGTGATAAGTATCTTCATAATTATTGAAAGGAAATATATATTTTTTATGATATCGAAACAAAATGGTCAATATTCTGCATAACTATTACATGTCACACCATAACCACATGGTGATTATGGGTTGTTTGCCAGTTACGTGAATAGGCAAGGCTAGTCTCAACAAGCTATGGTAATGTAGATCACCAAGTTAAAATTATCTGCATATTTAAAATAAAACATTTCCAGTGATAATAAAGAATAAGATATCGTGTATTATTGATTTCTATAGATCTGTTTTGAACAGTTTCGGTAAATCAGTGGTTTGTTTACAGACAAACAATATTGTATATGCTGTGACCTTGGCAAGTGAAGAAAGAAGAGTAGTTCTGTTATTATTGTTGTAATTTCTTTCTGTGCACGTAGAAGTTATAATTAAGTTAGATAATATTTGATAAGATTACAATCCAATTGTAAAAAAAAGAAAACTCATTTCACAAAACATTGTTAATCTTTATAATCGAATAGATACAAGAAACAAGAAATTATTGTTTCTTGTAATTTTCTTTAAGGATTAAATGTGGTTATGAAGATATGATTTCTAAATTATTGAATCTTTTTAACTGAATATTATTGGAATAGGTTTCCCAAAAAACCTTTACGACCTGTTTTTTCAGAAGCTTAACCTTTTAAGCTTGTATGATTGCTTGATGAACCCTTAAAAGCCCATAATAGCCTGTTTTTCAATGCTTGAGCCTGTAAGATATATATGTTTACAGAAATAAAGTTTTTACTATTCATTTAAAAGGTAAAATTCGATTCTTAGTTGTGATCTGAAGCAGACACTTATTGTGGCCAGTGGTTCATGTTATGTTGAAGCAAGGCCTTAGAATACACTATAGGTAACTACATACAGTTTAGTTATAAATCTGTCCCTACAGAAGTTGTGTGATAGTTTAGATTGCATTACAAGTTAAATAAATGTAAGTGCAGTAAATAAATCTATCATAGCTGCTCGAGAGACATCATATATGGAAGGTCAAAGAATGAATTCTGAAATGAATATTCTCTGTTGCATGGTAAGAAAAATTATCTCAATTATTAAATAGAAGGTGGGAAACAACTATGTTTGAAATATGTACCCATATGTGGTTATATAGTACTTAAGTGATTATAATATAACACCTCTGCAAGAGAGATTTTAGTAAAAATAGCCTGTATTACAGTCAAATTTAACCTTTATCTTAAAGGCTGGCAGCAGCAGAGACTGCTGGGAGGCCTGTAAATATGACAGTGTTGCATGCCTGCATAAACAACACAGTTGTGATGACTACTCCAGAAATGTGGATGGAGACTGATTATCACTTGGACATCTTTTGAGCCAGGATAGTGCCCCTGTTGAGTTGTACTAATGATGCCACTAGTCATGAATAAACTTGGGGTTTTAGCCTCCATTATACAATAAATGACAATTGTTTATCTTAGGTAGTTCTCATTATATTCAACTGATAAAATGGTTCAATAACTTATGGATACCCTGTATTACTCAAGATTATCTTACAACTTTTGATAATGTAATTAAATTGTGTATGGCTTATTAATGTATTAGGTTTAGTAAAGCATGGTACTTCACACCTAAGATTAGCTATATGTCAGCTGTAATGCTTATATGAAACCTTCAATGTGCTGGAAAAAATTAACATATTTAAAAAAATTACTAGGTAGATCACTGTGAAACAAGGTGTAAATAATGTGTTAAAACCCAAATATCTTAAAACCAAAAAAAAAAAGAATGTAATCGTACCTTAATCAGTAAGGGCCTTCATTTGACCATACTCTTCTCCACCAGTGTAATAAGTATGCTTTAAGAAATATAATAAACACACTTTCATTGATTTCTTCTTCAGGAGGGGTCTTCTTTGTACAATGCTGCCAAAATCTTAAAAGGTTTTTTTTGTGATCTACTGAAGAAATACTTGCCTGAATATAACTTTGAGCTGACAACTCCATCACCAGAAATTCAAGATTCAGCACACTCTGATGGAGAAACCAGTAAAGCCAAACGACAATGTAAAGAACTACCTGATGATACAATGATACAGTACTGGTGAGTTCATGTTTTGCTTCTTTTAATACAAACACCAGCATTTCTTGCTGAGTCAGTTATTTCATTGTTGTGCAGAACATAAATCTTACAGTTCCCAACTTTATAAGATGGAGGTTCTGTATGTAGAGTCAGAATCTTCCAATGCTCAGTTTTTTGGCTAACAGTAATTTTTAAATCACTTACTTCACATTTTAGGTAGATATAAATTTATCAAAATAACAAATGCAAGTATTTAAATCTAAACATACTTTTTCAAACTCAAAAAAATTATGTGCATACTTTCTCTATTTCAAGTGTTTGTTTACTTGCACAACAAGTTGTAAAATACCTACTTGTTAGTATATAGTTAAAAACAATGCAATTAGATTTTCTTATCTCTGTTTAAATACATTAATTGACATATAGAAATTAACCTGAGCAAAGTATTAGAGGGGAAAAAAAAGATTTTCTGTGATCGTAGTAAAACCTTTAACTTCATGAAATAGTGACCTTTTTTTTTCTTTCTTTCTCTTTTTTGCAGATGTGAGGGTAGAGGACTGGTTTATCTTTTATTATTTATCAAATATACCTACATAACTGGTGTAGCTGAAATAATAGCATCTGTGATGTGTATCTGGACAAGCAGTTGATGTTAAAAGTTCAGGAAACACCTGTGCTTAGTGTCAGTCATTTATTTTGATGCAATATATGAACCAACCAATGAAGAACATGGAAAAGGAGGGATCAAAACAAGTGTCCATGATAAAGGTGACATGGAACAAATGTGTTAGAGCATAAATATTTGACAAGATTTATTAAAGTGACTAAAGTAGAATTAAAAAATATTGCTTTAACAAGTATTCCTGGAATGTGTGTACATGTGTGCTAGGACTCTGAAACTGTTAAAACCATTATGTTGAGGTTTGTTTCTACTCTGTAAAAAGGGAGGAACAAGCATTGCTACACCACTCATCTATCGATTATCAAATGAATGTGATACATGTAAAAAAAAAAGAAAAAGCTGGTTCACCTTTTACTAAAGTTTCCATTTACAAATTCATGGAACAAAGGTGTCTCAGCTTAAAGGCATCTAGATAATCTACATTTTACACTTGTCAAGTTTCAAGTATAGATTAAAAAAATAATTAGTAATTTTAACTTTCCATATTTTAAGTGCTTCAAGATATTATCCTATACTGAAAAAAAAAAGTTTACTTGTTATTTGTTGCTCACACAAAACTATATATTCACATGGTGAATATGTTCAAGCTGGACTAGCTCACATCTTGTTGATTTTGAAAAGTCATATTTAATGTATTATAATATTTCAACTTGTAAGGAAGTAGCTAAAAAAGTCGATTTTGGCCATTAAAATCATATAAAAGTAACTTCAAAGTAATACATTTATATGTTTGACAACTCTGAATCATTTGGATGTTCTTGTTGTTTAGCAGGAAAGTTAATGCATGTTTCTTTTTTACAGCACGTAAATGACTCAAGTAATCAGAAAAAAAAACAATTCTTCTGAAATAAAAATTGTTTTTAATAACTATACATTGATTATTGGTATTTTATACAAAACATGAAAATTTGTTCCTGTAGTGTTTGAAAAGACACAGAGCTCTATCAGAGTTGGCTTTGTCAGTAAAATATTTATTTTTTTGTATGTTGTTTCAAAGTTACAGAAAAATATCTAAGTTGCTGTGGATATTTTGCTTTAAAGTGATGGGAAAATATCTGATACACTTGATAGCTTTGAGAGCAACCAGTTTTAAATAAAAGTACTACTTGTTTTTAACCACTGATTTGATATACATTTTATTCTTGAGTTCAAGTTTTGTTTGAATTGCATTTTCTTTTCAAGTTATAAATCTTTGATTTCTCATGTTTTATCTTGATATTATATTGTTAGTGTGTGCAATATCTTAAAGTAGAAAAAAATCATTTGGATTTCCTGGATACAGAAGGGGGAACAAACTTGAAATGCATTCCAAAAGCAGCAGCACAGTTATGTGAAGGATGTGATATGAAATTATTTTTTAATTTGTTTTAAATAAGTGAAACATATTTCTCAACACAAACATACATTTTTAACCCTCTAACATCAGGTGGGGTCCATATGGTCACTCATTTAGACTGACCTTGTAACTATGAAACTATACATACTATAGCTTTTAATATAGTAAGTGTGTCGTCACAAAATTTGGTAGCTTTTAGTAAAAAATATTTTGTACACAAAAAATCATATTGTTTAATTAAGTTTTTTTTCTCTAAAGATACAACTATGAATTTATGGAGTCTGACTGACTAGTCTGAATGCAAGATGATTTTCATGTTAAGATTAAAAATACTTTTTCATATTACAGTTTAAGTTTTATTTGCATAATCTCTAGAACCTGCTAAATGAATCTGATTTTGTTTTCAGTATAATTATATACTTTATCTGTATTTTCTTTACCCTAAAACTGTATACAGACTAATTCCATTTGACAGACATTGTAACTGCCACGTAACAAAAGAAATACAAATTACCTTTTTTTCCTGGAATTACTGCTGATCGTAACAGATATTTATGCACTGTTTATTTTTACAGCCAAAGCTAATAAATTTTTCATTTAGTTTTATATCTTTACAATTGCACTTAGGCTTTAGACTATAGTGACAGCTATTTATTATACTAGAGTTTTGTGTAACCAGTAGATTCAGCTACCAGCATGTTTGTGTTGAATTACACAACCATGCTGATGCATAGTGCATTCTATCATTGTTCATAAGCATTTTGTTTATTTAATTTCATTTAAGTTTTTTTATTTGACCTGATAAGTTTTTAATTTTTAGTTACTTTATAGCAATAATAAAAAAAAAAAGATACATACATAAAATCTAAGAAATTTAATGTTTATGTCTGAAGTCTTGTCATTTTCAAGCTTTGCATTAGAATGATAGAAGTCAAAAGCAAAGATTAGCCCTAATTCTTAGTAACGATAATATGGTCTCAGAAATTATTTTTGTGAAATTCAGATATACAACTTAGAATATATAATATTGCCACACATATATATATAAAATTCAATGTTCTAAAGCTAATATAATTTATCTGGCTTAAATAATTCTCATACTCGATCAAAAGAATTTCAACAGTGGCAAGCAAATCAAACTATGTCAAAATGTTCAAATCTACTTATTCCAAGGCTTTGAAGTCCCATAGTTGTCAACAAATTGAAATCTTCATTTTTCTATTGGTTACAAATAATCCAGTAGCAAATGTCAGAATTTATGACAATTTTTGAAAGCACTGTTTTCTATGAGGGGCATGGCATATGGCTTTCACTTTATTCCTTATATCTATGTGAAGCAAAAAAGCTTTGTCAGTACAAACTGATAGTTTAGCTTGGGAATATATAGGGTATAGGTGTGAACTTTCATGGAAAGTTAGGCCATATAGTATAAGAAAATCAAAAACAGGTAATTTGGAGTTACAAAGTATCACACGAGACAGACAAGATTGAAAATTTATTTAAATATTTCCTTTTGAAATTAAAGCTTAATTAATATTAGAATTTGAATTATAAACTATGTTTTGATGCCAATTTTATTGATATCCATTGATAATAAAGAGTTTACATTTTGAAGGTAACTATGAAAATTTTGTGACATGCACTTTGACCCACCTTTGCACAGAGGGTTAAAGACTACAATTTCATTTCTATGTAAAAACACCTGTTCAATAGCTACATTATAAATAATTTGTATCAGTACTTCATTGGATGAAAAAATTTTTTCCCTAACGAATATAATCTAGAGTGTGTGTGTGTGTGTGTGAACATTCCTTCAATTGATACAATATAACTGATTTTTATGAAACTCATCTCAGTGAATACACTAGTTAGTTTATGTAAAAACCCATTTTCAAGGAGCACTAAGTCATTTACTACAAGAACATTTGAAGGAGTGTGTTATGGTTATTATTTATTTAAACAAAAATTAAACCAGCAGAAGTCTACTGATTGACAGGAACGTGTGGATCTTGAGAGCTTTAACCACTCAATAATAGCAATAAAGTCACATTTAAAATACAGCAGTTGTTCAATAGAATACCCAAATAAAATACCCCCAAATTATTTGGGGTAGTAGCACATAGTAACTCTTATGCTATGTGATATCTTCAGCATTTCATTCAAATGTTATTTCCTAATTATAGCTTTTCTTCAGAAATATGTGCCTACTGGTAACCTACTTCCTGTTATAAATTACTTCTTCCTGGGAGAAAGAATATTGAAATACTTAATTGCCATTACAATAAAGTTTCCAGACAAAATCATTTTCTAAGAATACTTATTTATAATAAAAAAAAACTTAATGAATTTAAAGAAAAAAATGATAGAATAAAAATTTTAATGGAAAATTAAATATATAATGTCTCCAATATATAAACATAAGAACGAATTACATCCTCCAAGTCTATCCTAATCAAGCTGAAACTTCAGCCTGTTAAAAGAAAAATGAGAGTATTGGAATCATTCTTCAGAGAGTATAAAAAAAAACTACTATGTTCCCTTCATTTTAACTGAACAGTGCTTGTACAAATGAGTTAATGTGATTAAAGAAATGATAGTAAAAGATATTTTCACACAATGTGTGTATGGGAATATCTTAACAGTGCTTTTATAAATGAGTTAATGTGATTAAAGAAATGATAGTAAAAGATATTTTCACACAATGTGTGTATGGGAATATCTTAACAGTGCTTGTATAACTGAGTTAATGTGATTAAAGAAATGATAGTAAAAGATATTTTCACACAATGTGTGTATGGGAATATCTTCGATAATAGGTTGTTTTTTTTGTTCTGGGACATGCTTGTAAAAGCAAAAATTGGAACCATTAAAGCTATTTTATTAGGTACTATTTATAAACTAAATTTCATTTGTGGCTATTCAACTTATCATAACATGTAATGTAATGGTGAGTGAGTACATTATCTTGAATTTCTGAAGTTATTAGTGTAACTTAACAATTTAAATACTAGTTTAGAAATAAAGATACTTAACCATTGGCTAACCAAATGCATTTGTTTAAAATTTCTAATCCCCACACCTGGTTTCATCAGTATTAAATAAGGTAATGTAATCATTGATTGATCACATACATTGCCCTCCCTTCACACACACACACACACACGCATGTTTCACCAAAATTACTGCAAATTCTCCAGGTAATCGACAGTCCTGTGATACTAAAAAATAATGTGGGACCTTACCCAAGCGGTTTCTTGTTGTGTAAGAATGTAATTCAAAATTCTATGATTACTATCTTATAAACCTTGATTACATGCTAACATCAGTTTTATAGATATTGTATTATATTCTAAGAAGTTTTCTCTAAGAAATGTCTTAAGGATTTTGAGAATATCGTTTTAAAGTAAACTTTTATAGCTTTTTTTTTAAAGAGGCATCAAATTTCAACTTCACTAGGAACAAGACAGCAAGGAGAAATTAAATAGATAATAACAAAGCTTTTAAGTGGGTTACTTTGTGACAGTATTTTAGTCTGTGTTTTATTGTGTATACTTGAGAAATGTTGAATGATATAAGATTGTTCTTTTTCATTGTCATGATTTGTGAATATCTTTGAATAGTTTTGTTTATTTTAAACATAAAAATAAAATGTTTTCAAGAATACTATGTGTTGTCTTTTTTTTAAGATTTGAATCAATTAAAAGGCTTGGAAAGCAGCAAGAGTAAAATGTTTTCAATAGAAGCTTGTTGTATATGTTGGAATTATGTTAATAATATACATACATTGAATATACAGTCCTTGAAAGATGCTTTAATGACATGTGTCTTGTGGGTTTATTAATTAACTTAATGTGTATATGATGCTAAACCAAAGAAAATTGACGTACTTAAGATTTTTTATATGGCAATTGTACAGAAAAAAAAACATACACACATTACATGTACTTACAAATTATGCACAAGCTTACCATATTAATAGAAAATGTTACGAAAAAATACATTTATGAAAATCTACTAAAACCAAGTTTAAGGAAGTATAACGAATACCAATCGTAGCAAAGAAACATAATACAAGAGAAATGAAAGCGTTCAGTTGGGGGCAACCATTAAAGATCAATCGATATTCTCACATCTAATAAACAGTTTCTCTGGGGTTTCACTCATTTACTAACAAATAGAAGATTTGTTCATTCTAAATGATGGTCACGTGAAGATGTTAACAACTCTAAGACAATGTGTAGAACTATTACTGAAACACAACCAATCAACCATTTGGAGCCAGAAGAATCAATAGATAAACAAGGTTTACTAAGTTCACATGCATCACTTTTGCTACCAAAAGCTCGTACTGCAATTTATAGTATGCAAAAATAGAAATGCTGATCGTCAGACTTAAATAGGCTTAAGGAAGCCAATATTCCATATGCTTCTTGAACACTAACTATTGCACAAATTCCTTCAGTTTCTAGACTTGTTGTGAGGTGACCGCTGCAACTGTGGTACATTATGCATGTTAATACATTTTTGAAAGATATGACCTCTATGATACTGTCATGAGGAAGGCCCACAACACCTCATTCCATACCACTAAACTTATTTTCTATTCCTTAAGAATGGACTTCTGAATCATCTGGTACAGGTATACGTCATTACCACCATGGTGGTCGGTTTGATCGGACCTAATCACATATCTTCTCTATATGCTTTATGTAACTCACTCTTGGTAAATTGTGTGCGAGCCAAGCTTTGATATAATTTGTAACCGAAGTTACATTTAATAAAGTTATAAATTATGCCTTATCATGATCGATGAATTTGATAAATCTTTAAATAAGGATTAGTATCATGTATAACATAAATATGTATTCATACCACAGAGTCTCTTCCCCCCCCCCCATCCTCCTCCGTGGTTCAGCGGTAAGTTTGTATATGTATCTTAATCACTAAAAATCAGGTTTCGATACCTGCGTTGTAGCTTTGTGCCTAAAAAAAAGATATACAACCACAGACAAATTTAAAACATCATACACACACACAAACAAATCACTCGCTGTATTTAATTTATAACATGTTAAACAATTGTGTACACAGTAAAATCTAGATGACAACAAGGAGTTTTAGGAAATTCGAGACATCTTGGCAACTATATTTTAACGTGTTTTTGTATGAACTTACCTGTCATTTCAGTGTTTTATAGCAACATCAAGTAAGACATTGTAACTAAAATCTGTAAAACCTTACCTTGGGGCTAAAGTTTCCGGGCCAGTGCCCTACTTCTTTTAGTTGTGGTATACAACAGGAATAAACTTGGAATATTACTTTATATTTATGAAATACGCATCATCATGATTATCTGTGCATGTAGCATTACTGAATTATTTCCATATTTGCTTGAACAGAGCATTTTTAAATAAATATCAAAATAAAGAATATACAGAGAGATCTTGTATAACATTCTGTAAAGGTAAACACCACTTTTTAACAACAAGTGGTAGTTGTTCACCCCCCCCCCCCAAAAAAAAAAAGTTGATGAAACTAAGTCGGTTCCTCATTGTAACATTGAGAAGATGAGCATTGCCTTTCTTTTCTTTGCAGACTTTTTCTATAAAGGCACTAAGCATGCAGGTATGGAGGCGACATGGGTTGAACGTCCTCAGTACCGTACTTATTTTGAGGGTGGACATTTTAAGTATATTCTGTGTTTAGATGTTTCAACCTGTGGCAACCGACTTTTGGGTGACCTTGTATAACAATAAATAATATTAATTGTACATTACTGTGTTGTCATCATGGTTAATAAGTAATTTTTTTTATATACATGGCATTATACGGGGAAGCGTGATTTATTAAGTGTTTCGTGTGACATGACATCATAATAATACTGATGACAATTTTTAGCAAAATTTTCTTTACTTTGAACAACACTTGGTAGCTCTTTCTGAGTTGTACAATACCATCTTTCTGTAGCATTCATTGCCTTTTTATAATGGGTAATCGCGTATTCTGTTATATGTTGTATTTGGGATAACGCTGCTTCTACTACAAAATCATTGGCATCTGTATATGATATGAGTGGATCTTCAAGAGTTGGGTATGCTAATACAGGAGTATTATTGGTTAATTCTTTCTTCAGTTTGTTGAGTGCTTGTTCAGAAACAGTGGTCCAACAAAACTTATTTGGTTTTTCAAGTAATTTGTATAAAGGATATGCTGTCAGAGAATAATTTTACAAAACGATGATAATAAGAGTACAGTCCAAGAAATCCTCTTATCTCATGAAAGTTATTTGATGTTGACCAATTCTGAACAGATTCAACCTTAGATAAGTCTGCAGACACTCCCTTCCTATTAACTATGTGTTTCAAAAAACTCATTTGGAAGAACAGTTCACACTCCTTCAGATTCAGCTTAAGGTTCTTTTTCCTCAACTGATCCAGATCTGTATTTAGTCCATCATAGGTATTAAAAAGTATTTCCATGTATGTGATGATATCATTCAAGTAGAGCAGTATGACGTTCCAGTGTAGTTCAGAGAGAAAGCATACTACAATAGTTTTTAAAACGTAGAAGGTGCATTATCTAATCCAAATGATAGCACAACAAATTGCTACAATCCATCTCCTGCAGTAAAGACTGTCTTCTGTCTACTTACTTTGGTGACTTGCAATGGCCAATATCAACTCTTCAGATCCATTGTTGAAAATAATTTTATCCAGATAAAGCATCTAAAGTAGAGTCAATCCTTGGCATTGGGCATATATTCTTCTTTGTAACCACATTCACCTTTCCAGTAGTCGATGCAGAATCTTTTGGATGCATTCTTCTTCACAAATGGCTTCTTCGTGGCTTTTATTTCTTTGACAGTCTCAGCCTGTTTTTAAAGTGGGAGTCATCAGGCTAATTGACATATTGGGACTGCACCTCTAGTATCAATCTTTAAGATATTTTATTTGTCCACTGGAGAAGGCATTTTGATATTCTGTGAAAAAGTCATGCAATCTGTGGCATTCATCAGCTGTAAGACATTTTCAGCTCTGGTTATGTTGCTCTCGTAAATGAGGTGATAAGCTGTTTTTATGTTAGGATTTCATATCAGACTTTCTACATCTTGTTTCAGAGGTGACTACTTTTAATGCGAAAGTAATATCTGTACACCTTCACATCTTGAAATACCCCATCCAAGCTTGACTCGAATGTTGTGGTTTGTTGAGTTCATGGCTCTAAGGATGACATCTTTATTCTTCATATTCATCAGAGTTCTTACAACCCATAATCCCTCAGAACAGGTTTGAGTGTTTGGTTCTAGTATGGCCTAGTTGTCATATATAAGTTTATTCCTAATAAGTCCTGGTATGAATATTACACTTTTTGGTGGTACAATAACTGCTCCCCTTGGTGTCACTGAAATTTCAATCTCTTGTGTACTATTTGTCATGTAATGCACAGGAATTTCTTAGTAATAGACTGTGAAGCTAGTTATGTCAAGCCTAATCTTGCATACATGTCTCTATAAGAAGTCAGTTCCCAATATGCATTCTTCCTCAATGTCAATTACTCACTCATCATATGGTGTAGAGAAGTTCCTACAGTAAGGATAAATCAGGCTAAACTATTCTACTTTTAGAAACTGTGTTGATCAACATAACATAAGGCTTCCCATCAATATACCAATTGACTCATGACTTTTTTTTTTACACAATGAACTTCTTATTTCATATGAGGCAGATGAAGTTCAGCTGAGAATAATCCATCTGTTGAACTTTGCCCCATAATATCAGTTAATTCCTATTCTTCCAATGTTTGGTTAGCTCTTTGTTGTTCCTTTGATCTTATTGGGTCCGAATACTCATATTTAGGGTATTGCCTCCTTGGTGTATTAACAGTAGCTTGTTCCTCATAGTCTTGATTGTAATTGCCATGTTTTCCATATCTATAAAAGTTCACTTTTTCTGATATCCTTTGGGAGGAGATTTTATTCTCTATTGGCTTATATCCCTAGTTCCTAACAATATGTCCTTTCAAGTTACACATGAAATACATATTGTTTCATGATTTATTTCCTCCATTCTGTGTAATAAGTTCTCTAATTAATCCTTTAAGTTCTTCTAGATTATCATCATGGATAGTTGATGTTTTAATATTACACTATCTTATGATCCTGAATCTTCTAAATAATGCCTTTACTTGTTTGTTTGTTACTTTGATTGATTCGGGTTCCATTGCTATTAGGAGAACATCCTTTAAAGATGTAAACCAACTTTGCATTAGCCTAATTTACACATTTTCATCTATTATAGCATCTATGAATTGATCACGTGTCAACTAACACATCATTTCATATGGGGCCTCCAGATGAAAGAATTGGACATTCTCTTCCAAATCTTCTGTAAGTTTGGTTAAGGAGTCTTCTTCCTCTGTACTCTGTTGCTAAACTTTGCTTTGGATACTTCCTACTGGTATGTTATTCAAAACCTGTTGGATAAGGCAGCTAGCAATGCTTGATGGTTATGGCTCTCAGCTGGAAGGTTGCTTAGTATCATTAACGTCGGCCTTTTTAAATGGTCAACAGGCTGAATAGCTTGTTGTTAACTATTGGAATATATTTTGAAATAAGCAAGATATGCCTTCCACGGTACCTTTCCATCATAGTCCATTGGTTTT